ACACTTACTAGTGGTCAATATACATAATGTACAAGATTATTTAATAGGCATGAAATACAACATCAATGATAGAATAAGAGGCAATAATTAAATGACCATTTACAAAATAACAATTTAAAAGCCCCCAAATATCACATGATAATTCAACAAGTAAGGGCTCAACATGTATTTATAAATCCTCAAGTTATGAAAGACATATAAAGTATAATCAAACTACGAGTGACAACACGCACGAGTTATGCTAAGGTCGTACGACCCGATCCATAATAATCGTATACATACACTACCGAGGTCGTATGGACCGATCCATGGATGCATCCCATAATATATATAAATATTGTTGAGGCGTTCGGCCCGATCCACAAGAATAGAAAAACTCTTCGGATTACGAATTATGTATTTACAACTTTAAGGTAAGCCCATAGAAGAATATAAATTTCCATCAATGACTAAACATTCCCGCCAAATCTCTAAGTGATTAAGCTCAATTTAACATCATCCTTAACCAAATTTTTACTTATTAACAAGCAATTAAATTATAAAATTGAGTTCAGATAGTGCAAGAAATAGCATAATAAAGGCCTATGTCTACCCTGACATAACATGAATTTTAGCTATGCACGGACTCTCGTCACTTCGTACGTATGTAGCACCCACAATTGGTAGCAAATAACAAATTTAAACACCTATGGGATAAATTCTCTCTTACAAGGTTGGGCAAGTGACTTACCTCATTCCTAAGTCCACTTTTCGATCCACAAATCACTCTAAAAGCCTCAAGTCGGTGCCGAACATCCGAAACTAGCCAAATATTGTACAAACTAATCAATACTTGCTCAAAGTTCATAATCTAACTATTAGAGTGATTACTCAACCCAATTTGGAAGATTCCTAAAATTTACTCCCGGGCCCACGTGCCCGAATTGCGAAACATTTTGTAAATAATTATTACCCATAACCTCACGAACACAAAAATTTAATTTCTACTCAATTCCATAACCATTTTCATGGTCTAATCCCATTTTTTATCTAAACCTAGGTTTTTCAACAAAATACTAAAGTTTCTACAATTTTCATATTAAGATCTACCCATAATCTAGGTATTAAACTCACATTGTGTAGAATACACTTACCTCAAGATGCTAGGTGAAAATCCCTCTTTAAAAAGCTCCAAAATCGGCCAATAAATGAGAGAAGTGAACAAAATGGCCAAAATTCTGATATTATTAAGCCACTGCACAAGTCTGCCTTCTTCGCGATCGCGGACAAGCCCTCGCGATCGTGAAGGCAAAAAGTCACGAACCCAGGAAAAGTTTTCTTCGCTATTGCGAGAAGCCACTCGTGAACGCGATGCAATGAGCCGCCCACTCATCACGAACGTGTGCCTACACTCGTGAACGCAAAAGGGAACAGAGTTGCCTAGGCCCAGGCCAAGGTCTTCTATGCGAACGCGATGAGTCAACCGCGAACGCGAAGGCCATTTGTTCCAAGCATCCGCGAACGGGACCCTTTCTTTGCGAACGCGGAGACCAAAAGAGTCCAGTACCCAAATCCTTCATCGCGAACGTGAGGTTCCTTTCGTGTTCGCGAAGAAGGAAACCGGAACCAGCACTCCAGCAGTTTTGAACTAAGCTTTGGGCGGTCCGAAACGCACCTGAGCCACCCGGGACCCTGTCCAAATGCACCAACAAGTCGATAACCATAATACGGATCTGATCGAACTCTCGGAACACATAAAACAATATCGAAACTAAGAATCGCACCCCAAACCCAAACTAAACCAACTTATGAACTTCAAACTTCTTAACTAGCTCTGAACGCGGCGAATTATACTTAGACTACTCGGAATGATAGCAAATTTTGCGTACAAGTCATAAATTACCATACGGAACTATTCCTAGACTTGGAATCCCAAACAGACCTCGATAACACCAATGTCTACTCCAAACAAAATTTAAAGAATTAGAAAACCGTCAATTAACCAACTTTCAACATTAAGCGCCGAAATGCTCCCGGATCACCCAAAACCCGATCCGAACACACGCCAAAGTCCAAAATATATCATACGAACCGATTGGAACCATCAAATCCCAATTTCGAGGTCATTTACTCAAAACATTGACTCAAGTCAAACTTGGCCATCATAGGCTACTATTAAGGAACTAAGTGTTTTTATTTCAACTCGAACCCTTTCAAACCTAAACCAACCATCCCCGCAAGTCATAAAACAGTAAAAGCACATATGAGAAGTCTTAATTAGGGGAACATGGATCTAAAAAGAAAAATGACCGATCGGGTCGTTATATTCTCCACATCTTAAATAAGATTTCGTCCTCGAACTGATCTAGAATCATACCTGGAATACTGAATAAATGTGGATATCTGCTCCGCATGTCCTCCTCGGTCTCCCAAGTTGCTTCCTCGACTAGATGGCCTATCCACTGGACCTTTACTGCATAAATCTTCTTGGACCTCAATTGGCAGACCTGCTTGTCAACAATAGCAACTAGCTCCTCCTCATAACCCAAGCTGTCATCTAGCTGAACAATGTTGTAATCTAACACATGCGATGTGTCGGCATGGTACTTCCGAAGCATAGACACATGGAATACCGGATGAACTCCCGATAGACTAGGAGGCAAAGCAATCTAATAAGCAACCTCACCAACTCGCCTCAACACCGCAAATGGGCCAATAAACCTTGGACTCAACTTGCCCTTCTTCCCGAACCTCATGATACCCTTCATCGGCGAGACTTTCAAGAGAACCTTCTCGCCCACAATAAATGATAAATCATGGGCCTTCTGATTCGTGTAACTATTCTGTCTGTACTGTGCGGTGCGAAGCCGCTCCTAAATCAACTTTACCTTCTCCAAGGCATCCTTCGCTAAATCAGTGCCATATAACCTAGCCTCGCCGGGCTAAAACCATATGGGCGAACGACATTTCCAATCATATAACGCCTCAAATGGAGCCATATCGATGCTTGACTGATAATTGTTTTTATAAGAGAACTCGGCCAAAGGTACGAATAGATCCCACTTCCCTCCGAAGTCAATCACACACGCTTTGAGCATATCCTCCAGAATCTGAACTGTCCGCTCCGAGTGCAGGTCAGTCTGTGGATGAAAGGTTGTGCTGAGCTCTACCTGGGTGCCCAACCCACTCTGTACTGCTCTCCAAAAATGCAAAGTGAACTGAGGGCCTCTATTTGAAATGATAGAAACAGGCACAACATGCAACCGGACAATCTCCTGAACGTAAATCTGGGCTAATCTCTCTGAAGAGTACGTAGTCACAACCGGAATAAAGTGTGCCGACTTGGTCAGCCTGTCGACAATGACCCAAACGGTGTCAAACTTCCTCAATGATCGTGGAAGCCCAACTACAAAGTCCATAGTGATCCGCTCCCATTTTCACTCCGGTATAACCATCTGCTAGAGTACGCCACCTGGCCTCTGGTGCTCGTACTTAACCTGCTGGCAATTTAGACACCTCGCTACATACTCAACTATGTCCTTCTTCATCCGCCGCCACCAATAATGCTGCCTCAGGTCGCGATACATCTTCGTAGAACCGGGATGAATAGAATGCCGAGAACTGTGTGCCTCCTCTAGAATTTTCTCCCTCAAGCCTTCAACATTAGGAACACATAAGCGACCCTGGAGTCGCAGAACACCATCCTCGCCGATAGTAACCTCCTTGGCAACACCCAGAAGGTGCGGATCATCGTACTGACAAGCTTTAATCTGCTCAAATAATGAATACTGGGCCACAATACATTCAAGAACTCGACTGGGCTCTGAAATATCCAACCTCACAAGTCTGTTAGCTAAGGACTGAAATGTCCAAAGCCAATGGCCTTTCCTCTGCTGAAATAAATGCCAAACTACCCATACTCTCAACCTTTCTACTCAAGGCATCTGCAACCATATTCGCCTTACCCAGATGGTAAAGGATGGTAATATCATAGTCCTTCAGTAACTCAAATCACCTGCACTACCTCAAATTAAGATCTCACTGCTTAAACAAATGTTGCAAGCTATGATGGTCTGTATAAACTTCACAGGACACCCCCATAAACATAATTCCTCCAGATCTTGAGAGCATGAACTATCACGGCCAACTCCAAATCATGTACGAGGTAATTTTTCTCATGGGTTTCAACTGACGTGAAGCATATGCAATAACTCGCCCCTCCTGCATCAATACACAACCCAGGACAATGCGTGAAGCATCGCAATACACAGTATACATCCCTAAACCGGAAGGCAACACTAACACTGGTATTGTAGTCTATGCTGTCTTGAGCTTTTGAAAGCTCACCTCGCAATCATCGAACCATCGGCACTACTGGAAAATAGGCCTATGGCAACGCCAGGAAAACCGTTGCACCAGATAGGTAAACCGTTGCCATAGAGCCATTGCAACGGTTTAGGGCCCGTTCCATCAGCCCTCATGCCAATAGAGCTAAAGGAATGGTTCTTGTAACGGTTCACATAACCCTGGCTATAGTGTCGTCTATCGTAACAGTTTTTTTTCTCCTTATTGGAACGATTATTCTTTCCAACTGCAACGGTTGAAATCCGTTACCATAACATTTAATGCAACGGTCGATAACTGTTACCATATCATTTAACGCAAAGGTTATATAAGCTATTGTTACGGTTATTTATTGACATGACAACGATTTTTTTAAGCTATTGCAACTGTTTTTTATCTATTGCTACGGATATGTTTGGACTACGATAATCAAGAAATAGCTATTGCATCAGTTTGAACTACCTATTGCAACGGTTTGTAGAACATATTTGGATGGTTTGTATCCCTGTTGCAACGGTTTACATTTTCTATTGGAACGCCATATGATATCTACTGCAACGGTTCTGGTAGACTATAATAATAGTTTTATTCAAACAAAAATATAGCCATTATTGTAAATAAATCGTAAAACAGTAAAATTTATATAAATATCAGAATGAAATAATTCATAATCCAAATTGTCCAACAACCTAATAATATCCATTAAAGTAAAATATCTTGACATAAGTTTTACATTTTAAAAGTTAAAGAAAGTTACAAAATGCTGATAACAAACATTCCTAGAATATTTCTATCAACTGTCTTCACAGGGAGTACATAGGCATTTCACCCAATATAGACATGTAAAACTAAAAAGCATAACAATATATTTTGCAACATCCCTTAACCTCTCATTAATCAGTAGAAACCTCCAAAAATGTAGCTGAAAAGCTGCTCAAAAGCGCAGCAAAATAACTGCAATTCTCCTTCCTAAACTAGCCCAAAAACACACCAAAACACAGCCGAGAACCCAGCTAAAAACATCATGAACCCCATCTAGAATAGACGCCGAAACAGCTCCAAAACACAACCAAAATTCCCATAAAACACAACCAAAATTCCCATAAAACACAATCAAAACTCCCATAAAACACAACCAAAACAGCCATATAAACCTCCCATAAACCACCCAAAAATAACTTAGAAACTTCATAAAAATATCAGCAGAAACCTCCAAAAATGCGGCTGAAAAGCTGCTCAAAAGCGCAGCAAAACAGCTGCCATCTCTCCTTCCCAAACCAGCCCAAAAACACACCAAAACACAACCAATAATCCAGCTGAAAACCATCGTGAACCACATCTAGCCCCGAAACAGCTCTAAAACACAACCAAAACTCCCATAAAAACGATAAAGTACCGGCAAGGCATCTGCAAGACAACCACAAAATTATGCAGCGACAGTGCCGTTGGCAAAGTAAAAAAAAAGAGAAGAAGAACAAGAAAGAGGAGGAGAAGAAGAAAGAGAAGAGGTGTAACATTTGGTACGGACTGACCTTGATTGTTACTGCCAGCAAATGGACGATTGATTAGTTGAATAGGAGCTTGTTGTGCAGAGGAAGCTTCTCCAGGTGCACGAGCACTGAACATTAGCATGTTAGGATCAAGTCGCAAATCTGGGTTCAGACATTGAAGTTGTGCAACGACGTTCATTGTAATTTCTTGTTCCATAGCATCTTTCTGTGCGTTGAAATTTTTCTGCATACCTTGTTGCACTCTCTTCCATTTCCTCCATTTTTTTGTTGCATCCTCGCATCAGTAGCATCTACAGAGGATCCAACATCTTCCATTTTCTTTTTTAAGACAGTCTTTGTAACCCCTCGACCATACAATCTTACGCGACTTGGGTGCTCAGGTCCTATGACGCAAATGCGTCAACTGAATCACTGTCATCTTCAGTTTCTTGAGTTAATTGTATTCTCTCCATTTCAGCCTACAAACCAAATGCAAGAGAAAAGAGTTAAGTAAATAAAATTGAGTTAATAATTAAGAACAAATAAACTTAGTAGAGTATCGAAAGGAGTAAGCATGTGATAATGGACATCAGCTAATTACTCATTGTTTTCCTATCATCTTCATGAACAAAATGGAAGAAATGAAACATCAAAATTAAAATGGATAAATGACATGAAACGTCGATATTGAAACTTCTAAAGCTTTTTGTGCATAAAGAGAATACACAAGACAGGCTTGTGTTGTCCATTTCTTCTAAGTAGTTGGATCTAAATCCAACTTAAATGACATGAATATTTTTTCGACGGTAACCATGTACATGGCAGAACATTGATGGGAAATGTACATGGCAGAACATTGATGGAAACCACATATTTCACTCTTTCAAAACAAAGAAGCAGTCTGACTCTAGTAAACTTTTAGATGAACTACAGGGACATATGAGTTCATTTTCAGGCACGATACCAGAGCAATACATAAAGATATGGATACCACATGCTAAAACAACAAAAACAAAGCAATACATATATGTTGTGTAGTAGAGTCAAATTAGTATCGAGATTGTAGACATTCTAAAGATTAAAGGAAAACCTTTGTTGATAAAAAATGGCTGAAATTCTTCTACTGTGAATCATGTCGGCAAGGATAAAATTGAGAGAAGAAATAAGTGTGCCTTCCATGTGATAAAAGTTTGCTTAAAAGATGTAAATTTTGGGGGCAGAGAAATAAAGCAGAACTTGGGAAGACCTCGTGTTTTTGGTGCTAAGAATCCTCATTTAAATTAACATTTTTGTCAAGCATGCTTCAATGATACTTATTGTACGCAATGTCTTTTACAATCACTATTTGCAAGAAATATGTCCTTACTTGATAGAGTATCCAAAGTATCAGCGATTTCTTTCTTTTTTGCCTAGTTACATAAAAACTGGCATAAGAATCTTTTCGTGCAAAGTTAGCAAGAAAATCATTTATTCCACGGATATACTCATCTGTCCATCTTAGGAGATTTATGCAACTTTTATCACCATTATCCATAGATATCCTATGTAATATAGTCAAATCACCAAAATTAATATTCAAGCTAAGCAAAGTTATACCTCGATACTATATTATTATTACCAAAACAAATATAGCATACTGCTTTTAGAAAGAATAAGAGAAAGGTGTTGTACTACTATATTTCTGATTTGAAGACTCAGAGACATACTTCTTTAACAACGACCTTCATTTAAGTTTTACTCTACCTTTTAATATATTTCTCTGAACCGTCTACTGAGCCACAATACATGTGATGTCCAAGTAAATTCTTATTTTAAAAGTCCTAAGATGTAGATATTTCTGTCTAAGCACAATACATATGATGCAGATACTCAAAAAATTTTAATCTGTCAAGTGTCAAATTATAAGATGGTTGAAGACTATAAGAACCAGGAAATCCCTTTGGTTTAGACTTAAAGACAATTAGTATGTTATAATCACTCAACAAATATTTGGACTTAAAAAACCCTATTCTACATTTTGAATTATTTAGAGTTCGACATTTATTTTAATAAAACTCCAAATTCAATATGCAACAAAAGGATCTAGAGACATCTATAGTGACTGGAATCTACAGCTTACCTACATTACATATACCAAATTGGGGTATTACAAGCTTAAGGCATCTTTATATTGTTTAAAATAAATAAAAAGTTACTAACTTAACACATAAAATATTAGTACAAGATATTGTACAATAATCTAAATCTTAGTTCCTTTAATTTCAGTGGTTAAATTAAAATCTTGTTGTGGATCTATTTGAGGACATTGGGCTTGTTCTATGACAGGGGGAGGAAAAAGTTCAATAGGCACATTACTAGTCACAGAATTGAAGATCGAATTTCTGAAAAATTAAGACAACAAAGGATTATGCAAGTAACTTGGAAGAGAAATGGAGATGTCTATAGACTGGATACAACTCATTTAAAATTTTGCAAGACTTGGAAGAGAAATGGAGATGGAAAAAGCATAATTATTTATAGCAAATAACTATCTTTTAATTAATTTGCTCTAACACAACGTGTCATAAACTATTACTTCCAATTTGATTTTTATTGTCTGTTTTTTCAAATGCATAGCACTTCAGTTAAGTGCACACAGTTCCCTGATTCTAGAGCTAGCATCTTTTGGTATTTTGATAATCCTTTTTTCTTGAAAGGTACTTAAGATAATCCTTTGAGATGATAATGAAATTCACCCCTCCTCCTTTTACCGGTGACACTCTTCTTGATTCTTTGTATGCAGTTTAGACTATATACTTCTAGCTGATGTCCATACACTTCAGATTAAGAATGCCTGGAGGAAAATATTCATACATCTCCACATGAGAAGAATGCAGAAATGGTCTTTTTTAACAATACATCTCAGCCATTAAAAAATCTGAACAGTAATTAGGCATCCAAAATCCTTTTACCACATAGGAATATATATAAATTAGGTATTAACCCAGCAATTCTATTACTATTTAGAGGCATAAAATTGAACAAGCAAGAAGAAACCCATAAAAAATCCAAAATAAAACTACAGTAAATCATTCAAATTTATATTTGGATCCAAACCATTTCAATACATTTACTAAATGAAAAATGAAGAAATTTTCTAGTGTCTCTACTTAGAAAAGCGGACAACAGTACTAACCTTTGATAAGAATTTTGCTTTTTCAATGATAACTTTACGATGAGGAGATAAAGTGTTTGCACTTATCGCACCAAAATTGCAGCTTCTCCATCCCCTACTACTACCAAAATCTCTTCACCTACTAATTTTATCAAAAACACAAAGGTAATCAGTGTATCTTACCGTAAATCTGCAGAAAAAATTAAGAGTCTTTGGACATTTGCATAAATATTACCTTTGCAGCTAAGACAAAATTAAGAGTCTTCTCCTTCTCCGGCACCTAGGGATTGGGTATCATCAGATTTGCTTGGATTTCTCTAAGGGGGAGTATTCTTTGATATGTCCAGAGAGTATTTTCGATGGGTTCCAGTAGATAGAAAAGTTCTTCTTCGATGTGTTCTAGGAAATATTTTATCTGAGTGAGGCAATACCTCTATTTCTTTTGCTATTAGAAATTTTTTTAAAAAGTCTAGGGTTTAGTGAAATAAGGACGAGGGAAAAAACAAAAATAAAAATAAAAGTGGATAAAGTTAGGAGGAAAACTGAACCGTCTCCATATACCCATTTTGCAAAGAACCGTGGTCCCAGGTAGTACTATTGTTACGGTTAAAACAACTGTCGCAATAGAATATCCTATGGCGACGGTTACTTCACTAATGTAACGGTTTGCTTGCAAAAGTGTGCCGGTTGGTCTTATACCATATTGGGACGGTTATAATCGTTGTTATAGACTGTCTGTAGTAACGGTTATATAACCGTTGCTATAGGTCCATTTTCTATTAGTGCGGAACAGAGCACCCTTTTGGGTCAATCGAGTCAAAGGTGATGCAATATATGAGAAGTCCTCTACAAACCAATGATAATAACCTGCTAATCCCAAGAAACTCTTGATCTCGATCGTTGGGGTAGGATGAGGCCAACTCTGGATTGCCTCGATCTTTCTGGGGTCCACCTTAATACCCTCACCAGCTACAACATGCCTCAAGAATGCCACAGAATCTAATCAGAACTCGCACTTGGAGAACTTAGCATATAGCTTCTGTTCCCGCAAGGTCTGAAGCACAACTCTCAAATGATGCTTGTGCTCCTCCATACTACGCGAGTAGATCAATATGTCATCAATGAAGACAATGATGAATTAGTCAAGATATGGTCTGAACACCCGATTCATCAAATCCATAAATGTCGTCGGGGCATTGGTGAAGCCGAAAGACATCACTAAAAACTCATAGTGGCCATACCTAGTCCGGAACGCCGTCTTCGGAACAACCGAAGCACAAATCTTCAGCTGATGATACCCAGATCTCACGTAGATATTAGAGAACACCCTGGCACTCTGCAACTGGTTAAATAAATCATCAATACGCGGCAACGGGTACTTGTTCCTAATGGTAATTTATTCATCTGGTGGTAATCAATGCACATCCACATACTCCTATCCTTTATTTTGACAAATAACATTGGTGCACCCCAAGGCGACATACTCAGCTTGACGAACCCCTTTCATAGCAACTCCTCAAGCTACTCCTTCAACTCTTTCAACTCTTTTGGAGTCATGCGATACGGTGGAATAGAGATAGGCTGGGTACCTGGCGCCAAATCAATACTAAAATCGATATCACGATATAGTGGCATGTCTGGTAAATCAAAAAGAAACACATCGAAGAACTTCCGCACCACGGGCACTGAATCAATCGTAGGAGTCTCTAAAGCAATATCCAGAACATAAGCAAGATAAGCCAAACAACCATTCTAGACCATGTGTCGAGCCTTCAAGAAAAAGATAACCCGACTAGATACACTGATGAACGAACCCCTCCACTCCAATCTAGGCAACGCTGGCATCGCCAAGGTAACAGTCTTGGCATGAAAATAAACAATGGCATGATACGGAGACAACAAATCAATGCCCAGGATGAATGCAAAGTCGGTTATGTCGAGCAACAGAAGATCCGCTCTGGTCTCATAACCACAGAAAGTAATAATACAGGATCAGTAGACCCAATCCACAATAACAGAATCGCCCACAGGCATGGACACATATATAGGAGCACCCAAGGACTCACGAGAGATATCCAAAAAATGAGCAAATAGAGAATAAACATATGAATATATAGACCCTAGATCAAATAATACTGAAGCATCCCTACTGCAGATAGAAATAATACCTATGATCGCAGCATTTGAGGCTACTATATCTGATCTGGCTGGAAAAGCATAGAACCTAGCTGGAGCGCCACCTGCCTGGCCTCCACCTCTAAGGCGAGCCCTACCAACCTGCCCGCTTCCTTTGGCAGGCCGGACAGCTGGTGCGGTAATCATGGGCTGATGGCTCAGCTGCACTGCCTTGCCCTGAATCCTGGGGAAAGATCTTCTCATGTGACCTTGCTCCCCATACTCATAGCAATCTCTTGGTGCGGAAGATGACTGACCCTGAGTCTGACCCTGGGACCTGAATACCCGCTGGAAGGGCCTTGAATAGTCGGTGGACAGTAGGAGCTCTCTAGAATGGCACTGATATAGGGCCGCACTGATGTACCCCGAGAAGGCGGTAATGCTGAATAAGTGGGTCTGTTGACTGACCCCTCACGAACTGACCTCTGCCCCCAGACGGGGCGCCACTGAATCCTCCAAAATGCTGAGGCCTCTTCTCCCATGTCGTATACAATCGGCCCTGGGTGTGGATACCTTCCATTCGGCGAGCTATCTCCATAACCTGCTCGTAAGGAGTTTGTATATCCACCTCTCTGGCCATAGTAACCCGAATACCATAATGCAAGCCCACAATAAACCTCTGCACTCTCTCTGCATCGTGAGTAGTATCATAAGTGCATGGCAGGACAACTCAGAGAATCTCACCTCATAATCAATCAAAGACATCCGACCCTGCTGGAGCCGCTCGAATTGACCCCATAGCTCTTTCATCTAAGAGGGTGGAATATATCTCTCCAAAAAGAGACATGTGAACTGATCCCAAGTCAAGGGAGGCGAACTTGCTAGCCTTCTAAGAAGATAGGACTGGCATCATCTACGTGCCCTACCCTCCAACTGAAATGTGGTGAAGTTCACCCCATTGGACTCCAATACTCTCATGTTGTTCATCTTGTCTCTGCAACGGTCAATAAAATCCTGGGGTTCCTCATACCACTCACCGCCAAAGACAGGAGGATACGGTCTGATCCATCTATCCAACAGCTTATGCGGCTCAATGGCCGCATCCGGTCTGGGCTCTGGTACTTCTGCTGCCACTGGCTGTGCTCTGCCCACAGGTAATGCAACTAGGGTCTGATATACGGCAACAACATGCTTTGGAGGGGGTCTGTACTCCCCTTCCCGCTTGAGATGTGGCTGGGTCCGCTGGAAATAAACCAGCGTGCATCATAGAATCAATGAACCAGAGCATACGACCCATGACCTCCTGAAATCCCGGCATGGACGTGAAATCTGCTGGGCCGACTCAACTGCAAGCACCTCACCGTGCTCCTCAATGATAGGATCCTCCGCTAGATCCACTGGTGGCACAATGGGAGAAACTCTAGGATGCCCTCGTCCTCTAGCAGGAGTTGGAGCTCTCCTTGGGCCCCTGCCTCAGCCTCTAGCAACAGGGGGAGAAGATCCTCCGCCATCGGGTACATCTACGGCATGCATTCTCACCATCTGTGAGAGAATAAGAAAAAGATACTTAGCACAACATCAACTGCACGATAACTAACACCCTACAACCTCTCGAAGATAAATACAGATGTCTCCGCACTGATCCGCAAGACTCTATTAGGACCGTTCATGACTTGTGGAACCTATGTGAACCTAGAGCTTTGATACCAAGCTGTCACGATCCAATTTCCACTATAGCCCGTGATGGCGCCCAACGTCGCTGCTAGGAAAGCCAACGGTGTACTACCCATTTAATTCCTCATTTTAATATTTTTAAAGTCTTTGATTTTTATATAACACGGGAACAAATAGAAAGTGAGCGTAGTAATGTAAAGTATAAACTAAACAGGAAAGTAAGATAGTGAATTAAATAATCAAAACCCATGAGTGTCTACTAGAATTCCCAAAACGCGGTGTCACAAGTATACGAGCATCTAGTTGAATATACAAAACTCTCTAAGAACTATTTTCTGAAACAAAATAGACAGAAATGATAAAACATAACAAGAGAAGAATCTGGGTGCTGCAGAACGGAGCATGGGAAGCAGCTCACCACTAAGCCTCCTGGTAATGCGGATACGCGCCCGGACAAACTCCAGATGTACCTGCCTCAGAACCTGCACAATATGTTCATAAGTGTAGTGTAAGTATGTAAACAATGTGTACCCAATAAGTATCTAGTCTAACTTCAAAGAAGTAGTGACTAGGGGTCGACTTCGACACTTACTAGTGGGCAATATACATAATGTACAAGATTATTTAATAGGCATGAAATACAACACTAATGATGGAATAAGAGGAAATAATTAAATGACCATTTAACAAAATAACAATTTAAAAGCCCCCAAATATCACATGTTAATTTCAACAAGTAAGGGCTCAACATGTATTTATAAATCCTCAAGTCATGAAAGACATATCAAGTATAATCAAATTCCGAGTGACAACACGCATGAGTTATGCCGAGTTCTTACGGCCCAATCTATAATAATCGTGTACATACACTACCAAGGTCATATATCCCGATCCATGGATGCATCCCATAATATATATATATATATACATA